TCCACTGCCCTCCTGGGCCACAGCAGAGAGCTGGCCTGGAAGAGGGGCAACCGGGACTAGAACCCAGAGCCCATATGGGATGCCAGCACCAGAAGCAGAAGATTAACCAAGTGAGCCACAGCGCCAGCCCCCAGAATCTTGTTTTAAACTTTTTTTAAAAAATCTGTTTTAAAGTTGTATTTATTTGAAAGGCAGAGTGATAGAAAGGAAGAGACCCAGGGTCAGAGAGAGAGATCTTCCATCTGCTGGTTCACTCCCCACATGATTGCAACAGCCAGAGTTGGACTGGGCAGAAATCAGAAGCCAGAAGCTCCATCCAGTCTCCCACACGGGCGGCAGGGACCCAAGCACTTGGGTTATCTTCTGCAGCCTCTCCAGATGCACTAGCAGGAAGCTGGACCTGAAGCAGGGCAGCTGGGACTTGAACCAGTGCTCCAGCTTAGGATGCTGGCGTCCTAAGCAATGGCTGTGCCAGGCCACTATGCCACTATGCCAGGCCAAAGCCAAGAGCCTGGATGCCCATTCGGGTCTCCCACGTGGGTGGCAGGGGCCCAAGCATTTGGGGCCATCCTCTGCTGCTTTCCCAGGCAAATGAGCAGAGAGCTGGATTGGAAGTGGAGCAGCCGGGGCTGGGACTGATGCTCAGGTCGTGTGCCAGTGTTGCAGGAAGCAGCTTAACCTGCTGTAGCACATGCCAGCCCTACCCTAGTTTTAATTTTTTAGAAAAATCTAAGTTACAGCTACAGCCCGAGTGACAGAATCAGTTCGCTGTGATGCTGTGAGGAGGACGCTGCCCGGGTACTGCCAGGCACTGCCAGCTTAGCCCCTTGCCACACCTCACGCCTACCCTCTCCCTGACCCTGGTACCCTAAGTCCTGACTCAGTGGAATCAACACTCACTTTTTCCTTGGCACAATGACTGTGAAAATGCTCTTCCCCTCTGAGCTAGGAAGACTCCGCCGCCCACTTCTGCCGTCTTGCACAACTTTGCCTGTGCGAGCTGCCCGATGATACTCGAAGCCCAGAGCCAGAGTGGGCGTGGTGTGAGAGGCATCATCGCGGGTGCTTTACGCCCCTCCCACTCCCCAAGAGACAGATGGACTCCGGCCCTCCCCGAAGCGGGGAAGGCCACTCTCCCTTGAGCAGAAGACTCGCAGCGCCCCTAGGAGTCCTTGTCTGCCAGGGCGGGGGCCCCAGGCCATTGCGCCAGCAGCCTGCCTTTCTCTGTGCCCTGCCCCCATCCGGCCCCGTTGCAGTCAGGACTTGATGTCCTTGGTATCTGTTCTGTATCTGTATCTGGGTGGGGTCACCTGATTGGGACTGTGCCAGTTTGGCATGAAGATGACCATGACCCCATTTCTTACCTCTCGGCTCCTCCGTCAGGGTCTGGCAGGCAGGACGTGCAGTGAGGCTCAGCGCCGGGGGCCATTCCGAGTGAGGGGCTGCCACGAGAGTCCGTGGGTCCGGGACTGCTTCTGCTGTGTGTCTTGTGTGGGGCTGTCTGGGCTGTGGGACCCCTAGTTCTGTGCATGGCAGAGCGGAAGGAGGCCACAGCCATGGTGTGGCCCCTGTGGGCAGCCTGCAGGGCCCAGGTGGTCTGGAGGACTGTGGGAAAAGCGGGACTCCAAGATACAGATAAGGGGTGGACGTTTAACCTCACGTTTAGGCTCCTGTTACGATGTCCATGCCCTTGGCTCTGGCTCCTGATTCCAGTTTCCTGATAATGGAGACCCTGGGAAGCAGTGGTGAGGGATTGAGTGATCAGTGGGAAACCTGATCACTGAATTCCTGGCTTTCAGCTTTGGCCCCACCCAGAGCTAGCTGTTGCATCTGGGGAGTGGACCAGAGGAGGGAAGCTCTGTCTCTCTGCCTTTCAAACAAATGAATGCATGATATTTTCAGAAAGTTACAGATAAACTCAAGAGAGCTAGAAACCTCCATCCATACCAAAGCCTATACGCCAAGATTTCTGGTTTATTCATAATTATAAACAGAACAGCCAGGATGCCCTTCAGCTGGTAGGTGGACAGACAGTGATCCACTTGTTCAATGGAATATGACTCAGCAAAAAAGCAGGAGGGAACTGCTAACATGTGCACCAGGCTGCGTGTGCTAAGTGATAGAAGCCAGAACAAACGGCTACACCCTCCGACTGCATGGATATGAAATTTCAGAAAAGGCAGAAGCGCTGGGTGGAGAACAGAGGAGCTGCTGCCCAGGGCTGGAGTGGGAGGCGGAGCAGCGTGCAGAGCACTCTGGGACTTGTTCTCGGTGGGTGGGGGGCTTTCTAGCTTCGTTATGGTGGTGGTTCCCTGAGTGTGCATTTGCCCGAACTCTGAGAGCGATACGCTGGAAAGGGCACTGAAGGGCCGACGCTGCGGCTCACTTGGCTAATCCTCTGCCTGCGGTGCCGGCACACCGGGTTCTAGTCCCGGTTGGGGCGCCGGATTCTGTCCCGGTTGCTCCTCTTCCAGGCCAGCTCTCTGCTGTGGCCGGGGAAGGCAGTGGAGGATGGCCTAAGTGCTTGGGCCCTGCACCCGCATGGGAGACCAGGAAGAAGCACCTGGCTCCTGGCTTCGGATCAGTGCAGCGTGCCGGCCGCAGCAGCCATTTGTGGGGGTGAACCAATGGAAAAGGAAGACCTTTCTCTCTGTCTCTCTTTCTCTCTCTCTCTCTCTCTCTCTAACTCTGCCTGTCTAAAAAAAAGGGGGGATACTGAAGAAAACCCCAAGTAATGACAACCACAAGTTGGAGTCAGGTTAGTGTTTATTCGGGTCAGGATGGAGGTGGATGGGGTGGAGGGAGAAAGAGGGGGAGGGGGAGGAGGAGGTGGCAGCAGCTGGGGCCGGCATTCAGGGATACATGGACACATTTGAACAACCCATGCGCTCTGTCTAAAGCCCTGGCTGCCTGCTGGGAACCCTCTAGGGTCATGGTTGGCACTTGAGTAAATTCTTGCAAAGGACATCACAGGGAAAAAGGCCCCACTTCACACCTGCTCTCCCCTCATGCCGTCAAGCAGCCAGCAGGGACACAGGGTAGAGGCAAGAGAATGGACTAGAACCTAGGCAGAGATGAACTTCTGAGCCAACGCTGTCACCAGCAAGCTCACTCTCATCCACAGTACGGAGCGCAGGGAGGGACAATTGGCCACGTGACAGCGCTGAGCCCCTTGTGGGGGTCCACTTCCCAGAGGGACCATCTCCAAGGCTGCATTTGAATTCCTTACACAACTTCCTTAACCTTTCCAGGCCTAAGATTTGTCCTTGATAAGAATGAGATTTTCTGGTCCCATTAGATTGTTGTGGGGATTCCAGGAACACAGAGACCGCAGCCTTGGGTCCGGCATGTTTTGAAGTCTCAGGAACAGCTATCCCATTTGGGTTGCCAAATTGAGTTTAAAAAGAAACAAAGGACAAACTCTGTTATTTTGGAATTGCAGATAAACTAAATTTTTTTCAAAAATGATTTATTTATTTGAAAGAGTTAGAGAGAGAGAGAGAGAGAGAGAGAGAGGTCTTCCATCCGCTGGTTCACTCCCCAAATGGCTGCAATGGCTGGAGCCAGACCGATCTGAAGCCAGGAGTCGGGAGCTTCTTCTGGGTCTCCCATGCCAGTTCAGGGGCCCAAGGACTTGGACCATCTTCTACTGCTTTCCCAGGCCACAGCAGAGAGCTGGATCAGAAGTAGAACAGCCGGGACTTGAACTAGTGCCCACATGTGATGCCAGCACTGCAGGCAGTGGCTTTACCCTCTATACCACAGCGCCGGCCCCGAACAATGAAAAAAATTTTTGGCATAAATATGTCCCACCTAATATTTGGGATATACTTATACTAAAAAAGTATTTGTGGCCGGTGCTGTGGTGTAGCAGGTAAAGCTGCTGCCTGCAGTGCCAGCATCCCATATGGGTGCCAGTTCAAGTCCTGGCTGCTCCACTTCTGATCCAGCTCTCTGCTGTGGCCTGGGAAAGCAGAAGAAGATGGCCCAAGTCCTTGGGCCCCTGAACTGGCGTGGGAGACCTGGAAGAAGCTCCTGCTTCCTGGCTTCAGATCAGTTCAGCTCTGGCTGTTGCGGTCATTTGGGGAGTGAACCAGTGGATGGAAGACCAATCTCTCTGTGGTTCTGCTTCTCTCTGTAACTCTGTCTTTCAAATAAATAAAATAAATCTTAAAAAAAAAAAAAAACCCAAGACCTTGGGTCCTTGCACCCATGTGGGAGACCCCGAAGAAGCTCCTGGCTCCTGGCTTCTGACTGACGCAAGCTTTAGCCATTGTGGAAAATGGGAAGTGAACCAGTGGTTGGAAGACCTCTCTCTCTCTCTTTGCCTGTCTGTAATTCTGTTTCAAATAAATAAATCTTTAAAAATAAAAGTATTCATTACACCCTTATACTAACAACACTAAAAAAAGCATGTTTTTCTGAAACTCATAGTTAATTGGACACACGGTATTTTACCAGGCAGCCCTACTAACAGAGGAAATGGATTTGGGTTAATAGAAGAGTACTTTAAAAAGTTCATGGGAAAATGCAGTTAAGAGATAAGTTTATTTTGGTACAAAAAAAAATCCTGCAATCCGTGTATTCTTTTCATAATACACATTTTCCGTGAGGTTTTTGAAGTGCCGGGTGTGAGGATGGAACTCAGCGTGGAGGTTAAGTGGAGGGTGAGTCATCAGCCTCCGCTTTACCAAGTTCCCTGCACCTGGTCACTCCTGGAATCCCACCTCCTCCAGGCAGCCCCCTTGATGTGTGAGCTCCCACTGCATTCCTTGATCTGCTTTTGTTCAGGCCCACGGCTGGCTGCCAGAGGCGTCATCAGGACTCACTGCTGGGCTGGGCAGCCAGCGTTTCCTGTGTATGTCCCCTGGGGCCAGGGCAGAGGGTCCCGCTGCCAGCGGTGGGTGCAGCCCGCGCCAGGGATGCTCCAAGCCTCGCTGATGGCTGAGTGGCAGTGCTGCTCTTACATAATCGGCTTCTCTCCCCCTTTCTCTCTCCAGAGCCAGATTTCACACTGAGCAGCTGCAGTCGGAGGAATCAGAGAAAGCGCCACCCAGCCCCAGATTCCAAGGGCCTGCTGGGCCTCTCCTCTTCCTCCTCCTCCGCAAGGAAGACCCCGAGGCCGCTGTGTCAGGCCAGCTCCTGGGCTGTCATGGGCCTGGCTGCAGCCACGCCCCGGCTGCCCTCCCCGCTGCGAGGCAGATAGGGTGGCTGCCTGCCCAGGAGCACTTGCCCGCTGCCTGGCTGCACCCTTGGGCCAGCCCTTGCTGACTTGGTGGCCACTGTCACTCACCTGAGGCCATGTAGGCCCTGCCCGGGCCTCTGTGGACACAGCGCCGCCGACAGCGCCTCTGCTCTCAGGGGAGCCAGCACACCACCATGCCCCGGGGAATCGCCTGGCTGCGCTGTGAGTATTGGGGTTCCCCAGGGACCTGACCTCCCCTCCCCTACTACCTGCCCCCCCCCACCCCCTGGGCTTTGGCCCAGAGCCAGGCTCTGCCGTAACTACAGCAACCAGGGTATTCTTGCTGGTGAGAAGTTGAGATGCTTCCCAGTGTGGCTGCAGGTGTCCTTGGGGACTCCCATGGCTGCCCTGTGCCCTGTCTGACCCCAAGCTCAGCTGGGCAAGCTGGGTGCAAGGCTCGGGCTGGGTGGGCACGGTCGGTGGGGTGGTCTCAGGGACAGGGTGGGTGGCTCACCTTTTCAGAGGCGCTGGTCCTGGGGAGTGAGTGCTCCAGGGACCGGCAGCAGAGAGAGGGTTTCCGCTTCCCTGGGTGTGGCCAGCAGGGGTGGGTGGAGGCTCCAGAAACAGCCAGGGACCCAGGTGCTTGGAAGGGCAGCCCTGTCCCTTCACCCTTCCCTCCGCAGCACAGCACTGCAAAGCAGTGTTGTGGCAGAAAGAGAAATAAGTTGAAACAAGGACAGAAAAAACCAGAGAAGGATCTGGAAACCCCTCTTGCCTGCTGGGTGGGAGGCCAGACCGAGAGCCCTTCAGCATCTAAGATGTAGTGTAATGGCCTCAAATTCAACACGTTTTTCTGGTGCCTCCCGTGTGCACACTGGAGAGTCACTGCCCTGACAGCGGCGGCCTCGTGTGCCTTGTGCCCTGTCTCCCATGCCTAGCACGCGTCAGGTGCTCAGGACCTGTGTGCTGGGGCTCATGAGTCTGGGGGGCTGGAGCCTGCAGGGGATTCAGAGAAGAGCAGGGCCCACCCCTCGTCCTTGTGGAGGGAGACACCCCAGCCAGACCCAGCATCCTGGAAGCTTCCAGGTCACGTGTGGGGGAGCCGCCAGGTGAAGTGGCCTGGAAGGCAGGGCAGGTGGACATGCGGCGCTGAGGACGGAGTTCCAGGCCGGCAGAGCATGCGCAGAGGCTCAGCGGTGGGACTGGGAGAGGCCGGGTGAGAAAGCTGGTTTGGACCCAGGTGATGGAGGCCTTGAGAGCCAGGCAGTGAATGCTGGCTTCACCGCACCAGAGGGCAGCGAGCTCTGGAGGCCTCGTGGGCTGCGGGGAGGGGCTGTGGCTGGGGCTTCTGGCTGCCGGTCAGTGCATCTGGCGGGAATCGGCATGAGGGTCCGTTCCTGAGTGGAAGTGAGAGTGACGGGCGTGGTAGCAGACAGCTCCAGGAGGGGAGCGTAGGACTTGACAAGGACTGATGGGGAGGTGCAAGAGGGGGAGGGGCCGCAGGGCGGGGCAGGGCAGGGGTTGCCTGGGAGAGGGGCTGGGGAACATTACCCTTGCATAGACCTCCCATAGAACAACAAAATCCTCTCACAGTGCTGGAGGGCACAAGTCTGCAATGAGGGGGTGCACAGGACCCCACTCCTGCTGAAGGCTCTGGGGAGGAGGCTTCCTTGCCTTTCCCAGCTCCTGGTGGCCCCTGGCTTCCCTTGGCGTGAGCCTGCATCCCTCCCACCTTTAGCCCTAGCTGCACCTGGCTTTTCCCTCCGAGTCTCCGTGTCCTCTGCTCCTCTCACGAGGACATCAGTCACGAGATCTGAGGCCCCTCCCTAAACCTGGCAGCGTCTGGCCTTGAGGTCTTTCCCACAATCACATCTGCAAGGATCCCCATGAATGGGACAGGGCGGGGCTTGCCCCTCAGGGCACTGCACAGGCTCGGATGTGGCTGCAGGGCTCACGGTGCTGGTGCCAAACCTCATTTGTCACTGCTCAGAGGGCATCTGGGGAGGGCACACGTTCCCCACCCGCTCTGCCGGGAGCCAGGAAAGGGGCTCCTGCCTCACTGACCCCCTCAGCGTCTACTTCGGCCTTGCAGGTTCCTCGCCGTGGAGGGCAGGGTCCGGGCTGGTGGGGAAGCGTGGCCTGGTGGCCGTGGCTGTGCTGTCCCCGCCTGCTCCCCTGTTTCTCCAGGTGAAGGTAGCAGAGAAGCAGCTCAAGCTGAGAGGCGATGGTTGGGCTGTGGACTTCGAGGGAGGCTGCCGGCTGCGGGGAGGGCAGGGCTTCAGGGTGGCCCTTGTGCCCTCCCATGCCAGGCTGCGCTGCCGCTCCTGTCTCAGGACCACAGTGGCCAGACCCCGGAGGCCGCCAAGGGCGGCTAGGGTAGGGCTTGGGTGTGGAGTGGGCAGCCTTGGACACTGCCACGTGGAAAAGAAGACCCCGTGTGGACATAGACATTGGTTTTTAAAGTAAAGATGGAAATTTGGATTTTTTTGTGAAATCTCCATGGACCAGGTGTGGCCCTTGGGACACCAGCTTGTAACATTTGCTCTAGGCCCACAGCTCTCAAAGGGCCGGTCCCGGGCCAGCAGCCACAGCTTCACCTGGGCGCTTGGGGGAAAGGCAAACGCGGCAGCTTTGTGTCCCAGAACTGCTAATTGGAGGCCCTGGGTGGGGCCGGCCAATCTGTGCCTTACCCACTCCCCGGGGGGTTCAGGTAGAGGGGCCATGGCCCAGTTGACTTGACCACGGTGTGGGCAGCGCTGTTAGGGTGTTCATCCCGCTGAGGACAAAGCTGTTCACTCAAGGCAGTATGTGAATGTGGCTGGTGGTGCTGGAGACGGAGATCTGTGGGCGTCTGTGTCAGGGATGGGGAAGAGACCCTGCTGGTGGTGGCAAAGGGTCTTGGTGAGGCTTTGGAAGAGGTCTCAAATATTATGGGATGCCCAGGACAGGGCTGAAGGGGAGCAAAACCCCAGAGGCAGAACAACCCTGGCCTGTGGGGTTGTGAACCCATCGGGGAACTTCCTGGCTCCCAGGGCACCCAGCAAGCAAGCAGATGTTGAGAGTGCACATCTGCTCAGCTTGTGTCTCTGTTCCTCGGGCCCGATCCTGTGTCAAGGGCATGGGAAGGCAGGGTGGGATGCACACTTGCAGAAGATGGGGCTCTGCAGCGGGGGAGGGCTGCCTGGCTGCAGCCGCACTGAGCACAAGGCCCCGAGGGGCCTGAGCACCCAAGGTGAAGGCTGTGGGGTCCACCAGGGGCAAGGCCGGGCAACAGGACTGAGCAGGGCAGGGCTGGAGGAGGAGGCGAGGCAGCGCCGGCCAACAGGTTATGTGGCCCTGGCCACTGGGGGTGCAAGGATAAGTGAGTCAGAGAGAGCCCAGCCCGGAATTCAATTCCTTCTCGTAACCAAGAGTAGATCAGTGCAGTAGTGACTCGGCCAGCCTGGCTGTCCTTGCAAAAAATTAAAAAGTGTTGGGTAGTGGGGATAATAGTTGCTTCTGACTCTAGTTGTGACAGATGCTGATAGTAGAACATAAAAAATGTCCTATAATCTGTAAAGCTCCTAAACATCTCCCGTAGAGATTTAGTACTTTCCTTTCCACGGCATTCCCAAGCACACATGTGTATCATTAACAAAATTCTAGGCAGGCTGTGTTCGCAGCAGATACAGTGTTGAATTCGGCTTTTAAAAAGCTTCCCTCGTGTTTTTCTTACCATATGAACACATCACGAGCATTCTCTGACAAGGTGATTTTTAGGGATCGTCTAGGCCATCTACAGATTTTCACCGTTATAAACAGCATGTTACAGTGTCAGTCTTTACTCACAAATATTTCATTTCATTTCTTTTTCTTTTTCTTTTTTTTTTTTTTTGACAGGCAGAGTGGACAGTGAGAGAGAGAGAGAGAGAGACAGAGAGAAAGGTCTTCCTTTTTGCCGTTGGTTCACCCTCCAATGGCCACCACGGCTGGTGCGCTGCGGCTGGTGCACCGCACTGATCCGATGGCAGGAGCAAGGTGCTTCTTCCTGGTCTCCCATGGGGTGCAGGGCCCAAGGACGTGGGCCATCCTCCACTGCACTCCCGGGCCACAGCAGAGAGCTGGCCTGGAAGAGGGGCAACCGGGACAGAATCCGGCGCCCCGACCGGGACTAGAACCCGGTGTGCCGGCGTTGCAGGTGGAGGATTAGCCTAGTGAGCCGCGGCGCCAGCCCACAAATCTTTCATTTCTATCTCTTTTTTTTGTTTTGTTTTCCTTCTGATTTATTCCTAGAAATGAGTCCAGTGGGTCAAAGGCTGTGGGCGTTTGTAAGGCTTAGTTGGTTGCAGGGTGTGGACATCATTAAGTCCATTAATAACAAAATCGCTTTCCAAGATGAGAGCACCTGCCTGACCACTTTGCCAGCATTAAGTGCTATTAAAAGAAACATGGGGGCAGGGGGCAGGGGGCAGGGGGCAGGGGGCAGGGGGCAGAGGGCAGGGGCAGGGGGCAGGGGGCAGGGGCCAGGGAGGAGCGTCGTGAACCTTGTGGTGCAGCAGCGTAAGCCGAGGTGTGAGACACTCATATCCCATATGAGAGTGCCTATCCAGCTTCCTGCTAACGCATCCTGGAAGGCAGCAGATGATGGCCCAAGTGCTTGGGCCCCTGCCACCCATGTGGGAGCCCTGGATGGAGCTCCAAGCTCTTGACTGTGGGCTGGCCCAACCTTGGCTGTTGCAGGCATTTGGGGAGTAAACCAACAGCTGGAAGAACAATCTCTGTCTCTCTCTCGGTCTCTGTTGCTCTGCCTTTTAAGTAGACAAATGGATGAAAGAATGAGTCAATAAATATTTGAAAAAAAAAAAAAAACTATATCAAACCTTTCCATTCTGATGGATGAAAAATGTCTTCTGATTGTTTGAAGGCTGATTTATCTTATGAATGAGGTTGATTTGGGGGTGCATCTTGCCCTCTGGTTCTTTCTACTCTGGTCCACTTGACCCTTATTCATAGCTGTGAATCCTCAGATGGTTTCTGTTTGTGCAGGTTTGCAGAAGTCCCAAAGGCTGTTTTTGAGGTCATAGTGCCCCTGAGTGGTAAAAGCTGGTACTGTTTGCAGGAAGCAGCATCTGTGGGATCTGCTTGGCCGGCCTGAGCCACCAAACTGGTGCAGTGAATTGGGAGGGATGCCAAGGTTAGACAGAGCAGGGAAGAAAGCAACTTAGATTAACAAAGAGTCATGGCAACCCGAATCCACATCTGAACCCCTGGATGGAAAATGCAGCCACAGGCTTTGAAAATACGTCCCCTATTCCAGGGCTGAGGTTGCCCTGGAAGGGGTTGGGCACGAGGGGGAGGGGACGGGAGGCTGTCCTGGTAAGCGCGTTCCAGATTGGGTTGGGAGTGCTGGTGACAGCCCTCGGGGGTGTGGGACCCAGTGTTGGGTGCTCACGAGCTCTTGTCGCGTGTGGTCTGCAGATCTTGGGATCCTCCTGGGCATGGTCTTGGGGAACAAGGGCTTGGAGGTGTGGCCCTTGACTGACAGCAAGGACTGCACCGTCACCGGCTTCCTGCGGGACAAGCTGCAGTACAGGAACCGGCTTCAGTACATGGTAACCACACGGCACCAGCTCAGCCCCAGAACCCAGGCCTTGGGGCTCACCTGTGGTGGGGCCCTGGACATCCAGGACCCCTCCTTGGGCCTGTGTCAGCCCCAAGCTTACTACCATGGCTCCCTTCACTGCCTTTCTCCAACCCGCACCCCAAGTGCCAGCTCTGCATGTCCTGACCCCTCCTGCCATCCATAGGGCTTCCACCCCTTCTTCTTGACCTGACCTTTGGCCCCACCTTCTCATGGCATTCACCCTGAGACCAAGGAAGGGACTCGAGGAACCCTTGGGAGAATCCCAGGCACTTATTAGCTGGGAAAATCAGATCAAGGACTTGGCACGTTGTTCCCCCAGCATGCTCTGTGCAGTTATTCTTGTTAACAGCTTCGTTGAGATAGCATCGCGTGCCATGCAGTTCTCCCACGTAGGGACACAGCCCCGTGCTGTCCTGCATGCTTGCAGAGCTGTGTGCTGCCGCCACCACGATGTTCTGAAAGTAGCATGTCCTCTTCCTGGGTCTGAAGCAACGGGGGGTCTGTGTGCTTTGTTTCCCCCGTGTCCCAGAGGCGCGCGGGCTGAACTGTCTTTGTCCCTCCTGGGAGCCAGGCAGCCCCTCTCACCAGAGGACCACCTCTGCCACCCAGGGCTGGGCCTGGGCTCCTCCCCTGGCCCATCAACATTCACCTGGGAGTGCAGGGGAGCCTGCCTGGGCCACTTCCGCCTGTGACCTCGCGGTGTGTCCTTGTGGCTCCTAGAAACACTACTTCCCCATCAACTACAGGATCGGCGTGCCTTACGAGGGGGTGCTGAGAATCGCCAACATCACCAGGCTGGTGAGGAGCCCCGTGACCGCCATGGGCCCCAGCCTGGGCGACCTGGGTGGGTGGGGGTGCTAGCCACCGGCTTTTCCCCAGCCCCTCCAACAGGCCGGTGCTTGGCTCAGGCCCCGGGTTGCCCGCCATCCACAATGGACGCCTGTGGCCTGCTCCCCACGCAGGGGCAGGTCCCGGGGCAGGGGGCAGGGGGTTCCAGTGGTTTCTCCTGTCCCCTGCAGCAGAGGGCCCGGGTAAGCGAGCGGGAGCTGCGGTATCTGTGGGTCCTGGTGAGTCTCAGCGCTGCCGAGTCGGTGCAGGAAGTGTTGCTCGAGGGCCACCCGTCCTGGAAGTACCTGCAGGAGGTGCAGACGCTGCTGCTGAACGTCCAGCAGGACCTCCTGGTGAGCGGGCCTGTGCGCGCACGCGTGCATGTGGGTCCGAGGGCTCTGGCCTAGGGAGGTGATTAGGTTGGAGGGAGGGGTTGGACAGGTCTGGACGGGCATGCAGGAGAGAGGTGGGAGGGCTGCCGGGGGCGGGGAGGGCAGGCTGGGACCAGGACATCCCCTGAAACTCTGTTCCAGGCCGTGTCTCTCACCCCAGTTCCTGGGTCACCGAGCAAACTCTCTGGTTCTTTTCGGGGAGGGGCAGGAGGGAAGATGAGGGGGCGCTCAGGATTTTTAGGGCCATGAATTAGGCTGTAAAATACGCTAATGGTGGATACACAGCTTCACCCATTCATCTAAACCCACAGAAGTATACAACACCGAGAGTAAAGCTAATGTGAGCTTATGGACTTGAGTTACTTCTTAAAATTTTTTTTAAAGATTTATTTATTTGAAGCAGAGTTACACTAGAGAGAAGAAGAGGCAGAGAGAGGTCTTCTATCCTGCTGGTTACTCCCCAGTTGGCCACAATGGCCTGAGCTGCACCAATCCAAAGCCAGGAGCCAGGAGCTTCTTCTGGGTCTCCCATGCGGGTGCAGGGGCCCAAGGTCTTGGGCTATCTTGTTCTACTTTCCCAGGCCATAGCAGAGAGCTGAATCAGAAGAGGAGCAGCTGGGACTTGAACCAGTGCCCATGTTGCATGCTGGCACTGCAGGTGGCAGTTTTACTCGCTACGCCACAGTGCTGGCCCCTTGAGTTACTTTTAACATTTACTTAGTTTAGAAAAAGAGGCTGCCCCTTCCACCCCCCGACCACTGCCTTCCCCAGGCTCATGGACTTGACCTCTAAAACGTCTGAGTCATTGAAAAGTAAAGTAACAGGAGCATCGGGGGCCGTGCAGGCTGTGGGTGTGCCCACGGGTCCTTCTCATACCCCCATCTTGCTCCTTGGGACCTGAGATGCACCTGCTGTCCCTCTGTGTCAGCTGCCTGGCTTGGTTCAGCCCAGCCATGGAAGTACCCACTGAGTTTCCGAAGATGAAAGGGCTTAGGGACCGGCAAGTGTTTATGCAGCTGCCTAGAACTTCCCCAGGATGGGACTGGAGGGGAGGCTCTGGGTCCCACAGGGCTTGCAGGCCCAGCTGTTTCCCTGGTGGCTCTCTTGTGCCCATGGGCAAGATGGGTTGTTAAATTGGCCTGGGGGGAGGGACTTTTCCATGCTCATTTCTGGCTCTGGCAGGTTCTGAGGCACTGAGGGTGGGAGGTGAGGTGCCCAAGCCTGGATTCTCTCTGTCAAAATTGTTGCATGTCTGGCTATTTCTCGTTCACATTGAGCCAGTTTTTAAATCTCTCTTCTATTGACTCAGCTTTTAAAATGGATTTAACTTATTGGAACAAGCATTTGGTGCAGTGGGTAAGTCACTGCTTGGGATGCCCATATCCCATACCAGAGTGCCTGGGTAGTGTCTCGGCTCTACTTCCAATCCAACTTCCTGCTAATACGTGCCCTGGGAGGCAGCAGGTGACAGTTAAATTTTTTTGGTCCCTGTCAACTACATGGGAGACTTGAAATGGGTTCTGGGCTCATGGCTGTTGCAGGCATTTGGGGAATGAACCAGTGGATGGAAGATCTCTGTATTTCAAGCAAAATTAAAAAAAAAAAAAAAAAGAGAGAGAGAGAGAGAGATGGATTTAAGTTTGGAGAAACTAAGCTTCTCAAAGGTAGTAGAGGGGCCGGTGCTGCGGCTCACTTGGCTAATCCTCCGCCAGCGGCACTGGCACCCAGGGTTCTAGTCCCAGTTAGGGTGCCGGATTCTGTCCCGGTTGCTCCTCTTCCAGGCCAGCTCTCTGCTGTGGCCAGGGAGTGCAGTGGAGGATGACCCAAGTGCTTGGGCCCTGCACCCCATGGGAGACCAGGATAAGTACCTGGCTCTTGCCATCGGATTAGCGCGGTGTGCCGGCCGCAGCGCGCCAGCCACAGCGGCCATTGGAGGGTGAACCAACAGCAAAGGAAGACCTTTCTCTCTGTCTCTGTCTAACTCTGCCTGTCAAAAAAAAAAAAAAAAAAAAAAAGAAAGGTAGTGGAGAGGGTCCAGCCTGGGACTGGACGCGGGGCTCCAGCTGCAGCTGGTTCCACGACCTGACCTTGGATGAGTCACTTTACTTTTGGGCTTTGGATCCGTCTCTCCCTTGTAAAGGGAAAGCGTTGAGATGAAGCCTGAAATCTTCCCCAGTGTTAAAACTCTGATCTGACGATTTCATTCTAACTCTCTGCATTCCGGGTTGTGTTGTTCCTGTGCCACATTTTCCTCCTTGGTTTCATTATACTCCCTTAAAACCAAAATGAAATATGGGGGCTGGCACTGTGCCATAGCGGGTACCTGTGATGCCACCTCTGATGCCGGTGATCCCATGTGGGCACCAGTTGGAGTCCTGGCTGCTCCACTTCCAATCCAGCTCCCTGCTAGTGCTCCTGGGAAAGCAGCGGAAGATAGCCCAAGTGCTGGGGCCCCTGCACCCATTTGGGAGACCTGGAAGAAGCTCTGGCTCCTGGCTTTGGTCTGGCCCAGCTCTGGCCATTGCAGCCATTTGAGGAGTGACTCAGCAGGAGGAAAATCTCTCTTTCTCTGTCTCTCCCTCTCTCTGTAGCTCTTCCATAAAAATAAAATAAATATTTAAATATTCATCTAAAAAAAAAAACAAAATGAATTAAAAATGAGGTCCTAGATGGAGATGGTGGGGGCTATGCTGGGAGAGAGCAACTTAGACAATTACATTCGCTGTTTAAAATTTATTTACTTGAGAGGCAGAGAGAGAGAGAGATCTCATCTGCTGGTTCACTCCCCGAATACCTGCAATGGCAGGGGCTGGGTGGGGGCTGCAGTCAGGAGCTAGGAATGCACTCCAGGTCTCTCACCTGGGTGGCAGGGACCCGAGTACTTGAGCCATCACCTCCTGGCTCCCAGGCGCACTATAGCAGGAAGCTGGAAGTCAGGAGCAGGAGCCTGGAATTGAACTCGGATGCTCTTAACCACTAGGCCACACAGTTGCCCCTTGACCGTTTTTATGTGTGCGATTCAGTGGCATTAATTACACTTACAGGGTTGGTCAGGGCCATTGGTTTCTAGACCATTTCCATCACTCTAAACAGGAACTCTGGAGCCATACAGCAGTCACATGCCTCATTTCCCACCTCTCCGCACACGCTGGTGGCCTGTCATCAGCTTTTATTTATTTCTTAAATATTTATTTATTTATTTGCAAGAGTTAGAGAGAGAGCAAGAGCGAGAGTGAGAGCGATTTTCTGTCCTCTGGTTCACTCCTCAAATGGCTGTGATGGCCAGAGCTCGGTCAGTCTGAAGCCAGGAGCTTCTTCTGGGTCTCCCATGTGGGGCCCAAGGATTTGAATCATCTTCTGCTTCCCTAGACAGATTAGCAAAGAGCTGGGTCAGAAGTGGAGCAGCTGAGACTCAAACTGGTGCTCACGTGGGATGGTGGCATCACCGGCGGTGGCTCCACCCGCTACGCCACAATGCCGGCCCCGGTCATCTGCTAAAAAAAAAAAAAAAAAAAAAGATTTGAAAGGCAGAATGACAGAAAATGATAGACAGAATGAAATCTTCTACCCACTGGTTCACTCCACAAATGGCTGCAACAGCTAGAACCATGCCAGGTCGAAGCCAGGAGCCTGGAGTTTCTTCCTGGTCTCCCACATAGGTGCAGGGGCCATGTTCTGCTTGCCCAGGTGCATGAGCAGGGAGCTGGATTGGAAGTGGAGCAGCCGGGAATCAAACTGGCACCCACATGGGATGCTGGCGCTGCAGGTGGTGGCTTAACCCGTTACCGCACAGTGCCAGCCCCTGAGCTTGGTGCTGGACACTGCCCTCCCTGTGGCTCTTGTGCCCAGTCCTTCATGAGGGTCTGCTTGAGTGCTTTGACTTCGATGGAGATCGTAGCTTCCTCAAGGACAGGCGGGGGGTGGGGGGGGCGCCTCGTGGTGGGTGGTCGGTCATAGCCGGGACGCCTCCTCTTCCTCCCTGTTCTGGCCTGCATCCTGTGGTCATTCTACAAAGAATGGGAAGGCAGAGTAATCCGTGTTGTGGTTGGGCAAGGGACGGCAACTGGGATCCTCCCTGCACTTGCAGGGAGAGGAGGGGTTGAAACAGCCCACAGGCCGTGGTCACAGGCAGCCTCGGGCTTCTTCCACGACTCAGGTGGCTGCGGGGTCGGCCCCACGGTTGGCCTGTGGTGTGACCTCTCCTCACTGCCCTGATCTGTTTCCTCGCTTCCAGGATGTGGAGGTCAGCCCCAAGGTGGAGGCAGTGCTGTCGCTCCTGAACGCCCCGGGGCTGAGCCTCAAGCTGGTGCGGCCCAAAGCCCTGCTGGACAACTGCTTCCGGGTCATGGAGCTGCTCTACTGCTCTTGCTGTAAGGTGCCCCCTGCGGGTGGGGCCGGGCTCGGGTCAGCGGACACACCTGGGCCCTCTGGGCTTACCCTCCGCTCCCGGGATGAGGCCCACTTCCGGAAGCCGTGCTGGGTCTCTGGGAGGTGGGAGCCGAGCGTGTCTATCCTGTCTTTTCGTCTCCGACAGGTAAGCGGAGCTCCGTCCTTAACTGGCAGGACTGCGAGGTGCCGAGCCCGCAGCCCCGCGGCTGACCGCCCCCTGCGCGCCCCGCGCTCCCGGCTCCAGCGCTCAACTCCAGGCTCCGTGAAGCGGCTCAGGGCCCGGGGCAGAGGCCTCTTGCCCTGGTGACCCGGGCTGGGGTCTCAGCTGGGCGGGTGGTGGTGGTGGTGCGGGTGCCGTGGGCCCAGGGAGAGAACCCCGGGAAGAGCGAGGCGGCCTCACCTGGCCTGGCGGGGCTGCGGGGCTGCGGCCTCACCTGCGTGGAAGTGGTGCCGCGCCTCCTGCAGCAGCCAGGGCGCTGGCCAGAGGCTCGGGCCGCGGCGCTGATGCCACGTCTTGCCACAGTGGATGCTCTCCCAGTTCTCGTATTTTTTCTATTAAACACCCGCTTTGTTCCGTTTGCTTTGCTTTGCTTTGCCTTTCCAGGCAAACTTGAGGAGTCCCTCCAGGGCAGATGGGAGGAGGGGGTGGGGTTGTCCTGTGGTCTGGGGTTCCAAGGAAATAGACGTGGAGTGGACTGAACCCTAGGCAGGGACAGAGGCATTGGCGTCTTTTCCAGCTCTGCCCTCAGCTGCAAAGCCTGCGCCCGCCCGGGGCTGTCTGCAAGGGCGCTGGTCTGTTTCCCATCCCCCTCCCTCCGGCTGTCGTGGCGTCGGTATCTCCAAGTCCCAGGTGCAGGCTCAAGCTGTGGCCACTCCTGACACCTGGGGTGCCTGGGTTGCCCTCAGCCTGGGGTCCGGGGTGGGAAGGGGCTGGGGTGGCAAGCAGGCTAGGGGAGAGAGCCAGGGGTGTTAATTACAGTACAACTTTATTAATACTGGGATCTTCACAGTGCATTTGTTACTTGTAGCAGTGACTATTGAAATCAAGGGGAGGACAGAGTGAAGGGGGCTGGCAGGAGAGAATTTTTCCAAAAACTGACAGAAAAGAAACAAAATGGTGCAGGTGCATGGAGGGGCAGAGATGAGAAAGGGTGAGTAGGAACCAGGAGTTGTGGCCTGGGGTGGAAAAATAAATTAAAAAAAGGAACAAGTTAACAGCACCAGAAAAGTTACTTCAGTCCAAAGACGCTTTTGAAAAGAATATTTCTCTGTACAAAATGAGAAAGAAAATGAAAAGTAAAGAATTCCCCCAACCAAAGTCTGTGAAGTGGGATGGTTGGCTCGGATCCCAGGGGGTGGGCCTACAAGGTGGTCACTAAGTGGACAGCAGGGCAGCACGGGGCAGTCACAGGGAGGGCGGGGTGGGGGGAGGGTGGAGTATATACAGCCTGGGAGGACCCGGAGGGGAGCAGGGAGGTGGATGGGGGAGGGGAGAACTGTGCCATCCACCCCTTCTCTGGGAAGCCACAGCTTTCCTTCCCATCAGTCAGGGCCCCACCCTGTGGACCCCCCGCCCCCACCACGAGCTCTTTCTCACAGGGTTGTCTAGGCCCGGCCACACCCCTGGAAGCAGAGGCCAGGCCTGCCCACCACTGCCCCTCACATCCTGCATCCTCCTTGGGCAGCCCACCTGGCGGTCCCTGAGGCAACCCTGGGGGGAAAGGTGCACCAGAAACCCTGCCCTCTGAGCCCTGGCGTCAGCCTGTGCTTGCAAGCCCGAGTGCTCGGGGCAGTTCTAGGCCCTCATGACTTCCAAGCCCCCCCCCCCCCCCAGCCTTTGGGAGCCCTGTGGGAGTTCTGTCCACGCAGGGGCATTGGCTCCCCCGCTGGAATTCCAGTTCATGGCACAAGAACTCCTAGGAGTTAGAGCCTGGGGCAGGGGGTCAGCTCCAACTACGCCACCCAGACCAAGGACAGCCTACTCTTGCGACCCCTGTCATCCTCAGATCCCTGCTGCTCCACCGACCTGTGGGTCCACCTGGAATCCCTCCACGCGCCCTAGGCTCACATGCTTTCTCCTGCTCACACTGGTGGCTCGGGCAAGAGCCCTGCTCCTCCCCGGCCCCACATCCCGGGACGGCATCTCCTCTGGCAACAGAGAGTCAAAGCCAATCTTCCCGGACTCACTGCTTGACCCTGAGCCTGCAGTCCACTCAGACCACGGCAGGCAGGCCCTGGGGGCCCTTCCGCTCCCCACCCTTGTTTTGGCTATGCTCAGGACACTGGAGAGCGCGCCAGCTCCTCTGGCTTCTGGGGCGCCCGTCCCACCCCTCTCCTGCTGTGGGCCCAGCAGGCCACCGTGCGCCTTGCGCTTCAGGCACTGGCAGACATATACCCTGTTCCATCACCTCGTCTCCACGTAGTCCTCATCCGGAGTCCGCTCCATTTTATTATATTCATAAAATAACCCCCCACCCTCTACACCAGGCTCCACCTCCAGAGGTGGCTGAAACTGCGACTCCAAAGTGCCACCAGTTAATGCCTTATAGACCCAGCTGAAAACTGGATACCTGCAAACAGCGGTGCCACTGGCCAGGTGACCCCAGGGCCTCGGGACTGCTGTCCCTGCTGCCCCACCTGGCCCTCACCCCAGCCTGTCCCACCTCGTGGGGAGAGGGGAGCTCCCTTAGGGGCCCCTAAGCCCCCTGGAAGGCCCTGTTGAGGGCCTCAACACTTCCCCTTCATGAGTGGCCCCGGCCACCAACTTCCAACCCACTCCCTAACCCTGACTGGGAACCTGACCCCTCACCCCTCTGCAGCCTCCTGTCTCCAGCTGGAGGGGCCTGGGACAGGCAGAGTGGCAAGAAGGGAGGTGAGTGAGGTGCTAGCAGGGGCGGGGAGGGAGCCAGCATTCAGGGGAGACTCTGGGAGCAGCTGGCTCCGGTGCGGACCCCAGGCCGGGGTAGGGCTGGGATGGTAAGGAAGGCTGGCTGGGCCCCTCTACTGTGCACTTGCTGGGGAGAGGCGGGGCCCTGCAGGGAGGACGTGGAGGGGCAGACGAGGCAGGGGCTATAAACCAGTTCACGGCCTGCAGGCTCGGACCAGGCAAGGTTTGTTGAAGTCGCTTCCTGCTGAAACGCGGAAATCCAAGCCGGGTGTCTCGTTCCACAAAGCGGCCTTGCCTCTTCCCTGGCTCTGTCCTCGCCCCTGGCTGGGTCTCCGCTCTGGGTGGCCACTGCTCACAGACCAGGCCGCCTGCTCGCACCGGGGCCAGAGAGGGTGGGGAGGTGGCGCCATCATAAGATGCGGGGAGCCGATCTGTCGTTGGTGACGGTCCTGCGGAGCCGGACCCCGCGCCGAATGGCCACCAGCATGTCTTCAGCTGGGGGGTCACTGGTGGCCGCTGGAGGCGGGGTGGGTGTCTCCTCTGCAGGGGTGGCCGACAGGGCTGTGGGGAAGGGGAACTGGCCCTCCCCCAGGGCATGGGCACCTGCCACCAGCTCCCCAAGCTTCTCCACCAGGCTGTGCCGGTTGGCGGCCAGCCGCTGCTCGTCGTCGTCCTCGGCCGCCAGCCCGGCTCCTGGCCCTGAGTAGCCGGCTGCCTCGGGGGAAGGGCTGCCCCAGGCTGTGTTGGGCAGGCTGAGCCTCTTCGGGGAGGCCTTGGCGAGGTCTGGTGCCAGGGGCGAGGCGGCCTCATCGGTGTAGAACACGCACTCCTCACTGCCCGCCCGCGTGGGTCCCACGTAGCTGGGGGAGTCGGGCACTGTGGGTGTCTTCACGGGCACGATGGGCGGCCGGATGGGGATGGGGCCAGCGCTGGACAGGGCGCGGCGCACAGTGGGCTTGGTGGAGGGCGTGCGGCGGATGGTGGCCACGCCGGGGGGTGCGCCCGAGGGCAGCCCCGTGGTGGGCAGCCCGGCCGTGGAGGCTGGGCGCTTGGTCTGGATCAGGCGGCGGTAGTTCTGGGCGATGTTGCTGTTGCGCGGGATAGTGGATGACTTGTCGAACTCGGGCGGGCCTTCGCTCTCCGCGTCCCCGTTCACAGAGTAGCAGTCGTAGTCAGAGCCTGGGGGTGGGGGGCAGGGGATGCGGTGAGCCCCCAACCGCCCGGAGGAAAGACAGGGCCCTCGTGGGCAGCAGGTACAGCTTTCCTGGCAGGCGAGGGGTGGGACTGCCGAGGCCCAGTGGCCCAGCGCGTGGGGATGGCAGTGCCCTGGCCTACCTTGGGAGGGGATGGTGTCCTCGGAGCACGAGGGCGTGGTGGTCTGCGTGCTGTAGCCGCTCGAGTACTGCAGTGAGTCCCGGCTGCTCTTCTGGTGCTCCAGGCTCAGGCCGCGGGTCAGCACCATGGCCAGGTCACTGGCCGCAGGGGACACCTCCTCACCGTGCTGGGAGCGGCAACATTGCAGGCTGAAGCCTCGCTCCCTGCTGCCCCCTCCACCAGGGACTCCAGGCAGCCCCACTGGGTGGTTAGAGCTGGCCCTGCAGCCCCCATGCTGGGCCATCTGCACTGACCAGGCGGCTGCAGAGATGCCACCTACCTTGGCTGCGATGGTGGCAGGGGACATCCGGGGGCCCGGGGTGCCTCCGCTGGCCGGGCTCGGCTCTGTGTCTCGGAGGAGCTCCACCCTGTCTTTCCTGCGCTGCAGCGTGGTGCCTGAGGGCGGCTCGTGGGGGCCAGCCTTGGTCCAGTCCTGGGGGTACGGCGGGGAGGTCAGGGGGATCCTGGTCCTGCTGCCATGGCCAAGGGGACCTCACTGTGGTTAAAGCTCTCAGGGTATGCAGGTTTGTGCGAGGCCCCTGGCTCACTACCATGGCTAGGATGGAACCTGGAGCGTGGCTGGGACCCCTCCGTCCCACCAGGCTTGGGGTGAAGATGGGATACCCTGGAGGCAGACTCTCAGGGACAGGCTCCGTGAGTGCCCCCCTGGCTGAGCCGGGCCCTCCCTGTGGGGGTGGCGTGGGGAGGACCGCTGGGGACGGTCCTGGGGCAGGGCTGGGGCACTGACCGAGGTGGGAGAGCTGCACTCGCTAACGGACTGGCAGGTTTCCGAGGCCTCAGAGGACGCAGAGCTGGAGGACTTCTGCCGTGCACAGGCGAGCAGCGGCCGGCAGGGAGGGGACGAGAGAGGAGAGGAGAGGAGAGGAGAGAACAGCTCTGGTCACAGCGCCTGCATGCAGCGGGCTGCTTCATTCAGCATCCCGTCCCTCGCTCCAGGGCTGCGGCCGGGGGAGCGTCGGCAGCAGAATACAGGGCCCATAGCACACAGTAGGCGCACTGCCGTGCCAGAGGCCCCATCCAAGAGCCATACATATTGAGGATTAGCCACAGGACTTGGTGCCGCTGGCCTGGAGGCAGTGGGCCAGAGACAGAAAGATGCTAAGGATGGCAGCTGGGTCAGTGGTGTCACTGTTTCCTCAAAGGGATGCTAGGGCCATCCTGTGCTTGTTCAGCCGCCTGCTCTTAGTCTCTGTGCATGGATGCCCTGTGGACACCTGTTACTGACAAGCCTGGAGATCAGGGAGGAGTCAGGGCTGCAGCCTCAGGTGGGGTGAAGTGAAATGAGAGGAAGCCCAC